TCATCATCGGGGGGGGTGGGGGGGGGATCGTGCGTCGTCAGGTTTGCGCCTTAAACGAGGTACATCCAGATAAGATATTGGTATTTAATTTCTTTGTATTCAATGACTAAAACCCATTACGAGCAACAACAACAACAACAAAAAAAACGAAGTCGTTTTTCAGTGTTTTTGACCATTTTGTGCTCAGGAGCCCCGGATGTTTGACCCACTAACATAATTCTCTGTATCCGTGACGTCAATCGCAGGGGAGGAGCTCGGTGTTCAAAACACAGCCTGCTCAGTCCCTGGGCTTTTTTTTATGCTTCCTGTCTTGTTTTTGCGCTTGTTTTCTTGCAGCTGCCTCGTTTATTCGTGCTCCTTTACGCGTTTTTATTTCCTTTCTTAAACGAACCGATTATCAAACATAGAATGTGGCTACTCACCGCGAATTACGCACGATATTTACTACTTCAGAGCAACGCCTTTATTTGCAGCGTCCCGCCTCGGTTTGCTTATTAATTTTTTTTTGACCATGGACTAATTCTAAAAAGACGTATAAATGCACCCGCCATCGAGGAGCTATCGTGCATTTCAACTACGAGAGGTAAGAATATTGTAATGTGCAGAAAAGTCGCGGTATGAATGCGTTGTGTCCGTGCCTGCCTGCAGCAACTGCACAGCAGCTGCAGCTCGTCGTCCCGCCTGGATTCTTTCCCGTCTACTGCCTTCTCACACTGTGCATACGACAATCTGCACGTAGCTTTGCTTCTGTCTAGGCAGCATTGTTTGTTCACCGTCTGCCCGCGACCTCTCAAAATGTTTTGCGCAGAATTTCCTGCAGCAACCACGGCGTTTGACTTCCTTATATATTTGAAAACACTTAACACATTCGACGAGGTTTTTGCGTTCCACTTTTGTTTTGGGGAACCACAAATCATTACAAGGCACATTAATATTGGTATTTACAGTAGATATCCAAGTTTCTGTTGTTATTGGGTCGCATTCCTCGGAGTTTGTTAGCTTTTTTTTCATGTATTGAATGTTTATGAGCGTTTTGGAGAGAAATTTTCGGGTTGAATTGTTATTTTTCATCAATGCATTTCAATGGGTGTCAATTACATGCCAGTTTTGATTCTTGGTGGGCCGGCCTAGTCCCAATCCACCGCGAACAGCTTGGTTTGTCTGTACAGTCAACAAACAAGTTGTTCAAATAGATTAGGTCATCATCGGACTGGTGATTGGCTGTCATTTTTAAAATCCTGATTGTGTAAATCCTAGTTTTGGGATCATGGTAGAAAATTAATAATTACATTTAATATTGGTATCAAAACACTTCTCGGCCATAGATATAAAACAATCAAATCCAAATAAGTAAACCAAGGACCCCTATGTGCCTTAAATGTGGTTCCTAGTGAAGGCTCTATTGACGCTGAAGTAACACTGCTTTAAATGAGCCAGCTTGCTTTACATAATTTGGGAGTGTCACCAAAACCCCCCAAAAATGACTTTTGCTGAATTCACGCTTAAACAAATGTTTTGTTTTGTTCTCCCCACCAGGTGCGTGGGCCTCGCCTGCATCGTGGCCCGGGCGCTGCTGGCCATGAAGGGTCCGGGCGTCGCAGAGAACCGCCGGCTGCTCGGCCTGCTGGAGGCGGCGCTGATACGGGAGGCGCGCCTCTGGAAGGCCCCAGTCTTCAAGGGCGGATGCGTCCAGGTGCGTTTGGCATTCATGGACCTGCTCGGGTAGATGGCGGCGTATAACACGCAACGTAAACCAGAAGTTAACAGTCTTTCAAACCTTTTGTCTCCTTAGGGTGCTGACATGTCGTCGTCCCAACACCAAGACATGATCGTGTGGCTGGGGGGCATGAACAGACGCTTCCACTTCTGTCCAGAGACCTTTGCATTGGGCGTGTGCGTCCTCAACCGGATGCTCTCCACCGTCAAAGTACGTGAATTCTATTTTTAAAAAAATAAATCAAATACTGGCTCACGGTTTTAAGGTACGAATTCCTGTGTCCATTCTGCTTTTAGGCGCAGCCAAAATACTTAAAATGTATCGCTTTTACCTCCCTGGTCCTCGCTGCCAAAATCAACGAGGAAGATGAGGTAATGAGGCACTTCAAAAGAAAGACACACGCACACGTTGGCGCTACTTGCAAACAACACTTTTATTTGTTGTTGGCCCCGCGTTGGAAAACAGGTCAAAGGTTCGGTCAGCGACTTGGTTGCACAGAGCGGCTGCAGCTTTTCGACGGCGGAGATCGTTCGGATGGAGCGCATCATTCTGGACAAGCTGCACTGGGACTTGTACACCTCCACGCCCGTCGACTTCATTCACATTGTAAGATCGTCGTTAGCCATAGTTTTTGGGCTTTTTTTTTTTTTTTTTTGGTTGAGACTATTTTTCTTTCCGGCAAAGATTTCTCACACGCATCTTGTAACATCAGGCGGTGATTTGTCTAATCTCCCGCCGTGCTTCCTCCAGAGCCGTTAATCTCGTCAACCTACATTTCGTCCATAAGAATCAACAGCAGATGGGAAGTTCTTAAAGCCACAATCTCGCCAGAACAAAATGACACTTTTCCCATCTTGGATTAAAATAATGCCCCTTTCCCACTGTATGGTGCCTCCTTTGCTCTGCTCTATTGATTTTTTTCTCGACAGCAAAAGAGGAACTACCACTGCTTGTTGGTCAAGTATAGTACAGCTAGAAGTGGCAAAAATAAATACACAAGCTAACGTTAGATTACCCTGTTGTTGCTGTACTATACTCCGAAATTTTTTTTTTTTTTTTTTTTAAGTCAATGGAAAATTGTTGTATCTACTCCAGAGTTGTTGAAATGGAAAAAACAAGCAAAGCAAAACAGCAACGTACAGTGGAAAAGTGGCATGATATTGTTGAGGGCCTCTCCCAACACTTTGCTTTAAGTATTACAAAGACTTCAATATAAAGAGACGCAATATAATAACAATTGAAAAAATAATAATACAAAATAAAGATATTTTTTTAAATATATATATATACTGTTCAAATAAATATTTTTAAATAAATACTCTCGACTCAGACCGAACAATATATTTCCCGAAATTTCTTTCAGCGCCAATAAAATCGATGGATAATTCATCACAGACGGCTCACTATGACAACAGTGGGATGCTGTTGTTACCTCTGGGCCATCTTGAGAAGGCAGAATTCAAACAAAAAGAAAGCGTTTCACTCCCTTTGAATCATCCACTAAAATTTCCACTTGAGAGCACAAAGTGAACATGGCTTATAACAACGCAGCTCCTTGAGAGATGAACGCCTTGTACCTTAACCATCGGTGGAACCAATAAATGTCCAGAATGTATGAATGTCCGCTTCGGTGAATGTATTTTCATACCTTTTCGGCCTGATTCAGACTGGGTGTGGCGCCTACGGCCAGAGCACAGAAAAGCACTGCACATACAATACAATACAAACGAGCGCATCAATGAGTGAAGGTATGATGAGGTGGTGGGTGATTCGTCGTCCAACCTGATGGCACCGACGATGTTTCGGGAGAGGTCCGGGATGATTACGAGGACAACAATGACATCATGCGCTTTCGTGTTGGTCTCATCTCCCGTCGCAGTTCCACGCCCTGCTGGTCTCCGGCCACCCGCACCTCATTCCGTCCATGGGGCGTCAGAAGAGGCCTACGGGCTTCCAGGTGGCGCTGTGGACCAGGCAGGTGCAGCACTGTATGGCCTGCCACCAGCTTTGGCAGTTCAAGGGCTCCACGTTGGCCTTGGCCATCATCACCTTGGAGCTGGAGGCGCTCACGCCCGACTGGTTCTCTGTCTTTACGGACCTGCTGAAGAAAGCGCAAGTAAGGAGAAAAAAAAACTGCGAGTTCATCTGAACTGTTTCCGCCAAGCAAGAAGACACTTCTGTTCAGTTTGACACCGAGTCCTCAAGTGGGATCCACCTTATACATTGTGGTGCAAATCTGACATCATGCTCGCTGTAGCAGCTTTCAGGCGTGCACAGCGAAAATACAAACCAGACCAGTGTGAACATTGACAAACCAAACTGAAGTGTGCTTACTTGGTGGAAACATTTTCCCAGAATGACTTCACATAACTTATGAATGAAGCGACAATGGTTTACCTGCAACGGCGATTTCCATCCCTTGATGATATTTATCTTTCTGCTTACGAGAGTCTATCACTGAAGCTACTTCCAACGGAGATGGCACATGCTGGGTGAAATGATGCATTCAAGAACAAAAAAGTGCTTTGTGTTGCCAGTCGTCACCATGTCACCGTCACTCGTGCAGCCAATTAGTTTGCTCAAGACATTCATTTTGAATTCTGCTGACTTCCCATCAAGGTGGACAGCGTCGAGTTCATCCACTGCAAGGAAACGGCGGACGAGCATCTCCGCAGCCTCGAGTTCTCCCTGCCCGCCAACGCAGTCTACATTTTTGACAGCACCAACATCTACGAGGGGGAGGTGGACAAAGTCCGCCCGCCCTCGCGCCGCCTCCGACGTAGGATCAGGAAGGTGCGATCCGCGGACCAGCTTCGGGACTCGGATGAGTACTACGACGGTTTAAGGCGTTTGTACGATGAAGAAATGAGCTCGAAAGCGGAGGGGGGCAGCGGTGGGGCGTCGCCGTTCAATTCTCCGCAGGAGAGCGCCTCGCCCTGCCCACCTCTGCACCCCCCGCAATTAAGTCACAGCACATTTGGGCCAAGCATACTGTAAATGCATTTCGTTTTTAAGTTTTGCCGCATTTTGTACAAGTTGCAGATGTAGGTGCGATCACCTTCTACTTTTGAAATCAAGTTTTAAATGTTGACTCCACATTGCATTGGGTTACTGTTTTGAAGTCCTTGTGAAATTATATGTGATGCAACAAGCAGCTGGTTGACTGAAGAGCGGTCCATTTCAGTTCTCATTTACTATTTTTTTATTTTTTCACCCGAGATGATGTTTGCTGCGAAAGGATTTTGCTTTGTGTGAAGGATAAACCCGAGGTGGTCATGTGTTTGAGTTGAGGAATGTTTTTTTTAAATGCTTTTGGGAGTTTAAATCCTGATTTTGTTTGTTCATGAGGCGCTCTGGTTTAACCACGGCCAGAGTCACAGTCGCACTTTTCAAGACTTTTAAATTAAAGAAACGTTTTTATTTAATCACATTTATTTTACCAATATCAACTATTTCTTGAAAAAAAAGCTTTACTTTTAAGACTTAACGATACGATTGATTTTTATTAATTATTCCACTAGTGTTGATTTTCTTAAGCACCACGGCAAAATCATGTGTTTCATCAACCGCGACACTAATCAAGCCGTCGTTAAAGCTTCTATTTTGAGATCGACGTGTCCCATTTGATTTTGCTCACGCTCTTAAGCTCTGACATAATGTTACTTCCACACAAAAAGAATGTGTTGTACCTAAGTCTCACAATTTACTGATCTGGTCCTTTGTGAATATGAAGTGGTTACTGTCCTCAGAGTGGAGCCAAACTAGTGACCAGTGTTCTTCCTCACCTCCCCAGGCAGCTATACTCCGTTATCTTTGTTTTGTCTGTACCACACAAAGTTTCAACCTCAAGAGTCAAACATGTTTTGGTGTTTTTAGTTCTCAAAAATCACGCGGTCGGTCCAAAATGCACTGTGAACACCACTCGGTTATGTGGAGGGAGCAGATTGTACTGCTGGATGAGGTCCAGCGAGCCGCGGTTGGCGCTGCGCACACAGAATAATAATGGCAGTGTTGGCAGCGAGGGCCTCCACAAAGGTTGCTGCTCACTATTGTGTTGTCCTCTCCGAGCTACCCACTGTATTCCCTAAGAAAAAAAAAAAATGGACACCTTTCTCTTCATAAAATATTTGTCACTCTCTAGGGTTGAGTATATTAACACCCCCAAGGCACAAAATGAGAGAATTTAGTTTTCAGTCAACAGAACAAATCTAACAGCCAACACAGGTACATGGTCTAATAAATGGGTGTACTAATTCGTTAGCTATGTGCAAACACTGATTCTGAAAAATGCTAAGTTATATGAACTGTAGAAGATTTTGTGGGGGAGAACTGACTGGAAAAGCCATTTCTTTTAAGCATAGAACATGATTAAAAATATGTTCTAATTATTTTATTATGACTTCAAGATGGCGTCGCAGGAGTGGCTGCCTTTACAGCACTTCTTCTACTTTCTTCCTTTCATAACTTTGCTGCTGTAAATTGGGGATTCCTCCATTGTGAGACGAATAAAGGTTTTCTTATTCTTACTGTTCTTAATGTTCAGTTTTTGAAACTTTAATTTAACAAACGGGTTTATTGTGATTAAGAACTTTTTTTTAATATCTTGGTAAATGTACTTCAGGCCCTATTTTCTTTATTCATCTTATATGAATTGCAATAAAATATGTTGTTGGAAGTTTGGTAAATCTTTTGCCTTTCAACACAAATCCCTATTTAATGCAGTGTGTACATATTTCAAATTATCTCAGTTTCTTAAGGCGGGCACTTTGTACTGCCACCGTCTGGTGAGTGTACATAAAAGTTATTTCTTCAAATGAGGAAGTTTAGGAGTTGGGGGGATGGGGGGGGTTGTTTACAGCCAGCTGCAGGTGCTGTTAACACATACAGTGTACACAACGGAACACAGTCAACGAACCATAATCTTCTCCTGTCAGACACTTCCTCTGCAGACAGTGGGTAGGACTCCACCCACCCTGCCCCGCCCCCGTGCCCCCACCTCTGGCAAACACACACAGAGCTCAAGTCAGCACGGTTGGGCGGGGGCGGAGATGAAGAATACTGTGCTAACGAAGACAGGCAACATTGTGGGACAGCGTGTGCGGAAAGGCGGGGAAGTTTAATGTTTGCATTTATTTCCAACAACAGTAAACACAGCTGCTCTCGTTCTTAGGCAAGCTGAGGCTTTGAGGTTTTCCTGAATGTGTGTGTGCGTGTGTGTGTCTCTACTGCCTTCCTCTATTGTTTACAATAATGTTTCTGTTATATTGCTCATGGACTTGTTACAATATAATACTCCCAAGACCTTTTTGCATAGTAGGTTGAGTAAGCTTTCACAATATTCACATACACTGAACTAATATGAAAATAACGATAATAATTATTAGAATAAGCACACCTCTCTACATTGTTAAAGACCTACCACTGCAGTACCAAACAGCCTGAAGCTGTTCACGAGTTGATTTGAATCTCTGGTGTGTTGATTAAAAGAAAACAAAAAAAAAACAAAGAAATCACAAAATATTCATATAAAGTGTCCAAAAATAATAATAATAACAAAGAGGGGGAAATCCTGAATAAATGATGGCCATTGTTGTCAAAGTGAACACTCTCACCATGCGTCACCACGGCTTCATCATCATCGGTCCATGTGCACAATGTCAAGATGGAATGTCAGAACACAAATAAACATGGTATTGGCGTCGTCGTTGCTGTTGTGATGGAGGACAAATCCGTGGTCATGTGTGGGGAGGGGAAAACGGCGGCCATAAATTAACTGGAAAAAACAAAACAAAACAAAACATAAATGTGATGAAATAAAAACAAACATCATGGGGGGAGGGGGGCAACAAAATGGTGATGTGTGTGTTAGTGAGAAGGAAAAAAAATCAATGATGAAATCATTCAACGGATGGGTGACAAAATTGAAGCTCACTAGAGGGAGCCACATGCTACCACATACACGGGCGGTTGAGGCGTCAGCAGAGAACTGCTCGAGATTAGACACTGATCTAAAGCCAGATGAGCCCGAGTCTTTATGTAAAGCTCACCATCCCTTTAAATTACAGTCATTGTGAAGTCTACACGTTTGTCAGCAAACGCGATGCACTGTCTATTCTGTAAACGTGGCCAAAACATCACCAGCTAACAGAAAAACTCGACTGAACAGCCTTTCCAAAGATTGCAAGTCATCATGATGTGTGCTTTTGTTTTTGACGTCTGGATGACGGATGTGCCGTCTGTCCCATGAAGATGACTGTCGGACTGCGATGAACAGTTATGGCTAGCAGCAAGGTCACAAACCAACGACGAGGGCCTCAGTGGAAACACGACTATGACTACGACAAACAAGAAAATCCTGTTTGGTTTGTATGTGGACACATGATAAGCGGCGCATCACGCATCGTCAAAGGCACTTTCACACCGTGCGCAAAGTTTGTTTGAGTGGAGCGGGCGTGTCTCTGAATTATGAAGTGTGAGGAAGGAAAAAAGGGAGAGGACAGGAAGTGTCCAGCGGAGGTCACAGCGGTGATAGCTTCCCTTCGCATATGCCCGGAGGCTTTCTACGGAAATTCTAATGTCTGCTCAACTCATACAGGGCATTCAACTGAAGGCTAACACGGTGAGCCCAAATGTCAATGATGTCCTTCTACCGTAGGATGAGATGATGACGGATAAGAAAGGAAGGAAGAAAAGCACGAGTGTTGCGAAGAGAGGGAGGAGCGCATGCTTACTTTTTCTTATCCTTGTCTTTCTTGAGAGGCTGGGATAGGGAGAGTGTCTCGGCGGCGACCTTCTTCCTGTTGAAGGCGTTCATCTCCTCCTCCAGGTCCCGCCGCTTCTCCTCCACTTTCCTCTTCTCCTCCTGGTGCATGCGCTTCAGCTGCTCAAACTTGTCGTGAAGCTGCGGGAGACAATTAGTAAATTGACACGGTGCGGACATAATGATTGGCACTTGTCATTTCACTGACAGGAAGAAAAGCATTTCCCTTCATCGCTAAAAACATTTGTAAGGTCACTGTTGGGTCACAATCTGTGTTCGATGTTGTGCACCTCGTATTGTTCTTCCACACACTGACCTCTCTCTCTTTCTCTTTCAGCTCTGCTTCCGTCTCCTTGACTTTGTTGACAAACATTTGTCGCATTTCTTCCTCTTTACGCTGCAGGTCTCCCAAGAACTCTTTCCTCTTGGCTTCGTAAGTCTCCTGAAGACTGCAAAGAGGACGCGGCGGAATTAATTCGAGACGGCCTGAGGGGATTTGGAGGTTGGTGTGATGCCCTCTTCCTTCTGTCAGTACCTGAAGGGCTGGCTGTCTGGATCGGTGTCTTTAAAGCCCATCTCTTCCAGCTTGCAGCGTCGGTAGAGCTCGTAGTGGCGGGCGTGCGTCTGCTCCCTCAAATCCTCCATGTTGACTCGAATGAGCATCTCCCGCAGCTTGACGAAGTCGCAGTGGCTCTCGTTCTCCACTTGAAGAAAAAGACATGAGAAACTACATTTTATCATGGGCCTTTTATTACTGGACCACGCTTCCTCAAATGGTGGCTGTCCCTTTGGTAGATGTTCATCAATTAGTTGCCGCATGCCTCATCCACTTAAATCAAAACCCCTCCCTCAAACACAGACATTTTCCCCCCTCAGGAAAAAAAAAACCTTCAATTCTCTCAGTTCACAGACGTTATTTTTCTCAAAAGACAAAGAGTTAATTAACTACTGAGCCCGTTTCAACTTTATTACAAAGCAATACAGCACTCGCTCACCCCACAACATTGTGGGGGTCCGCATTTACGGGGCTCACAGTTTTTGCCGCTTCACCCCAATTCTCCATAACAGCATTTTATATCTTGTTTTAAACTCCATTTTCTCTTGACATGTAGTGTAAATGTATGAATAACAGCATTTCGTATAATTCCAAAAATTTCTTTAAAGTAATAAAGGCCTCCCTCTTTATAAGTAAATTAATAGCCCAGGCTAATATTTTAGTAAATACACTCCCCGTGTCTGCAAATCAGCACCACAGCGCAACAAATGTGAAATAACACCGTGGTTTTATTGCTGGGCCTTTGCTCCCGCCAAGCATTTTCCATCGCATTCCAATAGCCCATCTGTCACACTGTGGCCCTCCCCTTCCTCTCTGTCTCAGTCCCAAAACAAAAAAAAAAAACATCCCCGATAGGAATGCGAAGAGAACATCCTCAAAAAAAAAAAAAAAAAAAAAAAAAAAAAAAAAAGCCATTACACACTGCTGAGGAAACTGCAGTTCGGATTTTTTTACATTTAAGGGGGAAATGAAAACGGCTGTCAATTTTGTGACGGAAGCTCAGGTTTGTGAGAATGAAATCTTGAGGGAGCCCGAAGTTGAAATCCCCCCCAATCCACTCAATTATAAAAAACATATCCAGCCATGCCTACTATTTATTCAATTTCAACATAAAACAAATGCCACAGAGTTCTGAAGAGGTTTTAAACAAAAATATTTTCATAGTGGTTCAAATGTTTTCAAATTTTAAAACTGTGTGCCTTACAAAGGGTTAGACTGTTCCTTTCTGGCTGGAAGAAAATGTAATGGACCATAATGAACCAATTGTTTTCCATCTTATTTTAAGCACAACCGGATTAAGTTTAATTGGCAGGATGGTGAAAGGATGACTTTGTCCTCACAAACGATGTGTTCATGCGGCAAACAAGTTCAAAAACCAGACAGGATGGGCTCTGCGGCGGATTCACTTGGGCTACCGAGCGCTCTTCATTTATATCATTCTATTTGTGCTGACCACAGGCTTGCACGCACACACAAACTGCAAATAGAAGCGTGCAATAGACTGCTCATGTAGTTCAGTTTCACAGACGACAAAAAAAAAAAAAATAGGTTGTCGGCCAAGGAACCAAATGGCAGCTAAAAGCTTAATAGTTTCCACGTTTGCATACAACACACAAAAGTCCGGCTGGACAAATAGCTGAGAAAACATCTGGACCTCAGAGATAACATTCTTCAAGGAAAGCACACACATACACACTGACAGAAACCCAAAGCCTGTTCTCCAGTCGACAGTCCTCCTCCTGTCCTTCCTTCCCTCTGGGAAAATTTCTCATGGCTTCTTGCAGAGGTTAGCATAACGCATCTACATGACATTTGCCTTGCACGCATTGTTTCCGCTCACACAGAGCCTCCTTTTCACATGAACATGCTGCGTATGAAACATGTTTTATGATGGCAGAGTGACCCGTTTGCTCGTGACATTAAAAAAAAAAAAAAAAAAAAAAAAAAAAAAACAGATTAAATTAATGCCTTTTTGCAGACTAGTTTTCATTTACAGTGGCAAGCTTGTAAAATCGTAATATTTTCGAGAGAAAAAAAGGCATGCAAATTTTGGAAATTTAACTGTGAAGCGCTTTTACACGTCGTGTTTTTTGCTGCTCAATGTAGAAACTGGCGAGATATAAGATAAATAAAATTGAAGGGGGGTGGGGGGGATATCATTTTTAAAGTTGACCAAATCAGTTTTCACATTTGATTTTAGATTTGACTGCTTCCTCCCACTTAACTGCGGTGCAAGGGACGAGGGCAAAAGAATCATGGCATCTGCACAAAATGTCCAAGCTGCTCATCCGCTGATGAGTGTTGAGCCCGTCACTCGGCATCAAGTCAAAGTCACAGCTGTAGGCGTCGCGCAAAAATATCCTTCAGATGATAATGTCCTCTGCTAATAATATCACCTTTACACCAGAAGTGCTCTCGTTTCCACTGCAGGTGCACTTTCCATGCAATTGGACTTCTACAGTCCTATGTCGAAGTTTGAACACCCGTGCCGTGCTATATTTTCGAGACATCTACACTGCCATCCAGGGGGATTCAATACAAGCACTGTTTGAACACAAAATCCTCCTTGACAAAGATAAAGCCGAGTTTTGACTGACGCTGACAAGGAACTATAAATGTACCATGTTTATTGTGGTTGGAGTGTGCCGTGGTTTGGAATGACGCTACCATCTCTTGACAGCGAGAAATAATTTGTACAGCGTACTTCCATAATTATCACATTTTTCATTTAATTGCCAGGGTAGTCATGACGACCGGGAAACCCAAAATTGATAGCAGCAGGGAGTAGTCGGGACTGATACTAAGTGCACGTCTCAGTGAAGGCAGACCAAAAGGAAAATGCTGACTTTATTGGTTTTGGTGCTATAAAATACAGTCGTGGGCTTTCAAGTTTTCTTGATTCAGGCTGTAAACTTGAAACCTTAAAGCTTCGGGATCGGAGCTGGAATACAGGGAGTGTAAAAGGGGCCACTGACTCCCTCAATGTCGTGTTTCGCCGAGAAACACAACCTCCTCGCGCCCACAAACAAACACGCTACGACGACACTGCCGTTGCGTGCACTCACCTTGCACGACACCCCAGGGGTACTGTCTGGCCCTCACCGTCTTGTTCCCAACTTTAACTTCTTCCACGCTTCCCACCACGGCAAAGGGCAGATGAGCCTGCAGACACAACACCGGTTGCGGCGTCACTGACGTCATGCCGAAGCCTTCTCTCACATGTAAGCTACTTCAGTGTCTTGTGCAGCAACACAGTTTTGGTGGGGGGTGGGGGGGGGGACAATATAGAGGCTGTTGAACTAGGGCAGGCATCTCTCATTCAGCCCACATGAGAAAGACGCACAAGCATGTGGTTATGTGTGCCGCACCGCACTTCTGTTGTTCATTTAACATGCGGCTCAGTGGGGGCCCGAGGGCCCTATTTTGGTGTTCTGATTCAACACACACACACTTTCTCAAAGCTACGCTTCGTCGGGGTAGTCGTGCCCAACACGCAACCCCAAAAATTAGGTGGCGAGTTGACGCCCGCTGGCTGCCTGGTTTTGGTTTAGCGGAATAAGATGGCAGTGATGTCACTGGCTGCGAATAGATGGGGAAAGTAGGCGAGGATGAGCCAGATGTCAAACCAAACGCAGCTTTATTTATCCAAGAGGGAATTTTTTTCCCCAAAATGTTTTTACACTAAAACGTCAAGATTTTAAAAGGCGGGCAATGAAAAAAAAAAAAAAGATTTTCACTGCTAAATGACAATGTGGGAATACGCTGGAGTGTTCACAACCACTTACGTTCATGGAGGAGTTGATCTCGCTGACGGCTTCGTCGTCTGTTGGGAATTGATATATCTGGACGCCGTTGCTCACCAGCTCGCTCATAATCTTGATTTTGAATTTGTGGAGTTCGCTCTTGGAGATCGTATCAGCTTTGGCAATGATGGGAATGATGCTGACCTGGGGGGAGGGAGGGACGATTAGAAGTGTGACTGACGGCAGTGCGGCACAGAAATGAGAAAAAGTCTGACGTGCATTCTCACATCTGATGATTATCGTGTCTGACAAGATGTTTGCACGAATCGACCCTCAGTGCAAAGGCAAATTACTTAAAGTGAATTACAAAGAAGATAAATGTGCTTGCCCTATTCACAGGGCCACAAACAAATGTGCAGCGAAGCGCAGTCAACAAGCTCAGACATCACCACACGCACGAAAACAAACCCCGACTGTAAAAACAAACTTCATCTCCAATGTACATCACAAGCTCCTCAAATCTCCCCGCTGGGAGGACGCTAAAGATTCCCACCAAGCCGCACATCAATGCTTCTTGGGAGTCACATTACAAGCGCTGCAAACTTCCCCAGATCATTCATTTAGAGCAGGGCATCGTGTTTAAACCCTTAATAAACTTAATTTATTGCAATACATTGACAGTTTGGGAAAAAAAAATGTGTGTGTATTATAAAAATATAATTATATATTATACAATTAAAAAATTATATATATATATATATTTCCCCCCCCGGGGGTTGTAGCCCGCTTTTTTCACAGTGTCGCTTTTACCGCACATTTCCCCAAGTTGCAAAAGTGGTATCAAAGAGTGGCAGTGACAGTATCAGATGCCATAAAAGGCAATTATAGCAGCATATTATTTGCTTTGTTCACCATTTATATTTGACATGCGGTGTTTAATTTATTAAATTTAATAATTTGACCATTTCGAAGAAATGTTGAATACCAGGAAGCATGTGCAGTCATCATTTTGTTCGTATAATTCTACAAATAGCAATCAAATGGAAAAACTGAGTAAGATATTTGGTATTATAGCCTGCGTTGAAAGGGGGTGATTTCCCTGCCGTTCTTTGTTGGGTCGCATTACATAAAAACTTCAACACCAATTTGAGGGGCGTGACAGAGGCGGGGAGCGCCATCCCACGCTGGGTTTCATATAAAAGGCACGGGTGGATAAATGCTGTATCTATCGTCGAGTGTAAGCAGAGATTCTGGATTCCGCGTAGGCAGCCGCACACTGAAGACTTCTGGGGTCACCCAAAATAAACGGGCATATTTGGTTCAACCAAAAACACGAAACCGGCTGTCAATTCATCCTAAAGCATACCAAAACTGAAGGCACTGGGGGGGCAATCTTAAAGGTTAGTGGAGGAATGAATCTGGGTGCTGAGACAGTTCCCTAGAAAAGACTCCCTCTGTCATTTAAGAACAAAAATAGGCTCATTGAAAAAGAAAAAAAAGATTATCTGTGTTCCTGCCTCCAAGCAGCACACTCGGCTCAGGATGCAAGGGAAGAGTGTGCATGTGTGTGTGCGTGCGAGGGAGGTGCAATTTTTATACTCCGCTAATGAGGGGAAAAAAAACAACCATTGTCTTGCTTTGACAGCAAATTGTACAGACCACGAGGGAAAAGCTGTTTCTGGTCCACTTTCCCTGTTCTACTCGTCACAGCAGTTCCTGTCTTGACAGGAGATCCGTGTCTGCTTTGCTTCGACATTCAAGCACATCATCGCGACAGAGCAAACATACGACAATGAAACCTCGAAATTAAAATGGGTGTTTTATTTTTGGTGTTGACTGGCGAGCTGCTATTTGACACGTGTGTGGCAGGCAGCGAAGAATGTTGTTGTGAGGCAAATCTACGACACAATTTGGTTCCGAATCAGGAACTAATCCAAAGACGACCAGCATTCCAGGATGAATTTCATTTAATCTTGTGGTCAACGGAACCTCCAGCGTAACGGTAATGTTGGATCGGTAACGGCGACGACGGCTAACAATGGCTCGTGCTGATCGAGGGCCATCGGAAAATGTTTCTTTGGAATCATAGGTCAACATATGCTTATCGTAAACACTGTGACGAATGGGTCCTTTATTTTGGGAGAAAACGTCAGGCATGTAGAAGTATCACAGCCCCGCCAAGTTCACTCAACACCGACTCGCATTCACATGAAACAAAACAATATTTATCTTTCGCATTGTGGGGAGAATAGTCAAACGGAGATGCTGAGGTCAAGGGGGGGGATTCTCTGTGGTACCGAAAGAGGCACTGTTAATTCCCTCTTCACTAGAATGTTGACTCAAGGAAAACACGACATCCGTCGTGGGAGGTTAAGCAACATCAACAGATAAAAATACATACTCGCGGTTTGTCATTTCCAGGCAGCGCAAAGATGGGCGACATTTATGACACGCTAAACTGAACGAAAGAAATGCCTGAGCATTTTTTGCCTCGCTCACAAAAGGACGCACGAAAAGTCCCTTCGAAGCAAAATTTGGCTGCGGGATCTAGTCATTGTTTTAAATAGCAGCAGAAGACATTTGGCAGGGGGAAAAGAATGCAGCCATGCGTTGCTAGCCGAAGTACGCCAGCAGGTTTTGGTCACAAGCTGACCATCTGCTTTCTTCTGAATTTATTAGCGCCGCATCTCCAGACGCACAGGGGATAAATCTACCACTTTACAATGCGTAAATCAACGTTAGATTATATATGTGCGCGCTTAAGTAACCATTCTGCGCCGGATATCGGTTTCCAGCAGTGAACTTTCGGGTGCGTGGAAATACATGAAAACGTTCCTTGAGTTATGCAGGAGGGTTTTTATTTTTTTTTCCCCCCCTCTCCCTTGCATTTTTCCATGCTGCATTCTCTGCGGCTGTGGTGGTCAAGAGACAGATGGATTTATATTCATCATTGTAATAAAAGTAACATGTTGGCTTCAAGAAGGACACCAATAGGTCGCCTGCGTACTAAATTCACAAAATAATATGATGCAGCAATTGAACAAATGTCTTTGGGGCAGTTTATAACTTCCTCTGAGCTTTTACTTGTTTTCAGAATTGGCGGGCTGGCTCCGATGCGCAACCCCCCCACCCCCACCCTCCACCCACGTCCTCCATAATGGAGGCGGAAGCCTGCAGTTTGACTTGTATTCCTATAAAACTGCGAGGACGAAAACAAAACCCTGGCAAAGAGCTCAAGGGGATGAAATGCACACCGCTCTGAGTGAAAGGGCATCGGGATTTTGCTACAATGATACTGTGACTTGCTAACAATGGGCCTACAGTGACTAAGACTGGTTTCGCGAAGTTACCTTGCTGTCTAGTTTCTTCATCGTCACCAGGTCCAGGGACTTAAGCGAGTGTCCCGTCGGGGCGATGAAGTAGAGGCAGATGTGGATCCTGGTGTCGTGGTAGTTGAACAGCGAGCGCTTAATCTTCAGCTCTTCCTGCAGGTAGTTTTCAAACTGAGTGTCGATGTAGTCCACGATGGGCTTGTAACTGTGCCGGAAGGACAAACACAAAAAGGTTTCATGTCTTTCGGTTCGAGCAGACGCACGTGTCCGCTTCGATGTGCAGTTCTTTGCCAAGATCTCAGCTTGAGGCCGCACAGCTGAGCATTGGATGAGACTTGTGTTGTGTTCTTTTACCCTCTGAGCTTTCGCTCGCAGGGCCAGAGGGGGACTTGACAGCCACACCAGTGACCGCAGTCTGTATAATTAGGTGCGTTTACTCGATCTCATGAAGTCACAAGAGACGAAGCAAAAATCTGCCTCAAGACAACGGAACAGCGTGACATTGCACAAGCTGGAATTTGATCAACATTTTCAGTAGAAATGTGCCTTATCACAAGATACAGTGTGGGCGCTACTTTTGCTTTTTCTTTGGCTTGTGTGGGGTTTTTTTTCCACAGAAGGACAGTGGTGTGGAGAAAAATGTCAGGCAAGGTGAAAGGGGACGTTTTTTGAAGACTCACCTTTGAGACACGCGACCACTAAAATTCCTATTTCCATGTTCAAATATGATGGGGACAGTTTGAACTCGAAACATTTTGTTTTTCCTGGCAAATACCATATATGACTCAATTATCTCCAAACGCCATCTTCACCGCTATCCCTTCACACGCATCTTCAATCTTCTTTTGTGGAATGTGCCGGCGCTGACCTTTGAACGTGCTTTTGCCGCGCGCTGCGGGGTCTGGCCTTCAGTGGGCCACTTGAACGTGGCCTACAGAGGTGGCTGCTCTCAAAGGGCGTGAGAATGCCGCTTGCTGGTCGCGATCCAACTCTGAGCAGAGGGCTCGGTCCCTCGACGAAATGTAAAGACTTCCTCCCCCGCCGCTTTCTTTGTATTATTTTCAGTCCCGATGGGGGAAGAAAAATGCGCGGGAGCGTGCACTGATTTGATGTCTGCTTTTTACATCTCAACGCGGAACAACACGAAGCTATCGTGGCAACCACTCAAGAAAAATAGTTGCTGAAAGAATTCAAATATGTCGATGGCGATCATTTTTCGATCCAAATATGCTGCCGGATTTGCCTTTACTCTTTACTGAAGGTAGAATGGCAGAATAATGTTTTAAAATACTTAAATTCTTTTGAAGAACGAATAAGTTGTTTGGTTAAACGCCAAATGGGACCGCTTTTAGAGCGTTCCAAATTTAGAGGTTCATTTAATCTTAAAACGTAACATTTAATTACTTGGAAAAAAAAATGTATGTTTAAATGTTTCACATTGTTCCTTCATCCTCACCTGTCGTCTTTGTTGATCTGGTCGCCGAAGCCGACGGTGTCCACAATGGTGAGTTTGAGGTGGACGTTGCTCTCCTGCAGGTCGTACGTCCGCGGACGCAGGTAGACACCGTTCTGGTAGTGGCTGGCCTCCTCATTCTCAAACATGGTGTTGAAGAGCGTGTTCATTAGCGTCGACTTGCCGATGCCCGTCTCCCCTGGGGACGGTCGGAAGTCATGTAAGGTAATACTGGGCAACACGGAGTGCGTGGGGCGTTCAATAGCCCGCAGTGGATCAATACGTCTGGTTTGAAACGCAGCTTTTAGTATCACAAAGACGACTCAGACGTGGTCTTCAGCGTTGTGCAAAATACTCAACGGCTAACGCACTGTTGATGTTGCAACTGACCAAAGAAATTTGACCATGCAGCATATTGTGTGAACGCTGAGAGCCAGGCAGTCACCCGAATGGTATTGTGAAACAAAAATGCAAACAGTTTAAAATGCTTGTGATCGCGTCACCGTTGCTCAGAAAGCACATGACCTTGCATAGTAAAACAAAAGGAACTATGTTTCGAAAATACTGGACTGGAAATGCTAGAAAAGATTGCCAGATTCATCTCAGGGTTTTTGAATTTTTTGGGGATTCAACTAGGGCTGAATGAGTTTGAAAAATGTAATTGTAATCTCCCCCTCCCACCATCAATATTGTGATTCTTTTTTCAAGGTCCTCTTCACATGTACGGAAGGTGGGGGGAGGCTGGAATGCATTAGTGGCATTTCAATTCATCTTAATGGGGGAAAATGGATTTGATAGACAAATAAATTCATTTACAAGCTTGGTCGCGTCATGAATTCAACACGATAACCAGGGTACAAGTTTATTTCCTTACCTACACAGAGGATGTTAAAGCAAAAACCCTGCGTGACCGATTTGCTGACCAGTTGGTCGGGGAGGCTGTCGAATCCAACATGGCCGCCCAGATTGAGGCTGCGTTTCTCTTCATTCTGCGGCACACACATAAAACGGAGAACATAAAACAGGGAAGAAAAAATATTTGTGAAGACTCTTTAATACAGCTCTTATATACCATCGCAGACTGTGATGTATGCATGAGACTAAACACATCAACATCATCACAGAGACAGCTAATAAGTGAGCACAAAAAAATCGTGTCAGAGCAGCAGATAAGAACCTTGAGATGAAAGAGCCTACAGGGTAAGCGCTGCTCATCCGGCCGGGGCCACCAAAACGGCCGCATTCTTGAACGCTGATGTCACAGCCAACGGCAGCAGCCTGAGAGCAGAGCTTGGCTAGACGTGACCGCATTGGCAACCTTCGCATGCATGACGGCGCCTCATATTAAATCAGAAACCTGGAACGCCGAGTCATGTACTTCGGTACATGGCCATAGGTTTTGGAAGCGCAACAGACGAAAGGTTTATGAGAGGAAGCATGGACTGGACTGAACAGTCAAAGGTCATCCATCGCTGAGGAAACAACAGTGCCCGGGGGCAATGTGTGGCTTAGGACAACAGGAAATGGCTGCAGGGAGGGGCCGCAGGTGGCTTCCGGCGAATTAGTGCCTAAACTACAAGACAATGATGGTGATAGCCTCGATCACCAGTGGTTGTCTAGAGGTGGGGGGCGGGGACCAGATAAAAGATGATAAGGAAAGGATATCAGGTTTCATGCAATATTGAAAGCCAGGTATTGCTTTTGGCCTTGCCCCTTATAGACAAAATACATTTCTCTGCGGTGTCACTTTTTGTCCAAGCACAACCACATCTCAATAGCTGGGGTTGTCTTTGTCCTATTTTATTGGTACCATTCATTTCAACAAGCACTCAATACAAAATCTCCCATTTGCCCAAAAAACACTACTACAGAGCTTTTGTTCGCTTTGATCAGACAACACTCGATTCAAAATCTCCCATTTGCCAAAAAAAAAACCACTACTACAGAGCTTTTGTTCGCTTTGATCAGACACTTTGTAAAGATAATAAACTGCCTATGTTTGTGGTAGCTTAAATAATTATTTCAGGCATTAAGCCAAAGTAAAAGAGTGTAAGTGGCATGACTAATGTCCAGACAGCATTCGGGCTTGAATAAACGCGTGAGGATGACCAAACGTGAAAAAAAGCAGAAGCAGAAGGAAGAACCAAGAGGTATTACCATGGGTGGCCATATAAGCTCCACCCCACCCCCCACACATCTCACACACACATTTAGCAAATTCTAATGTTGCCTGGGTGATTTGCTTTAACTTGTCAGGGAACGTTGCATGAACTGAGGGTTGCTGGGGATTCTTCCATTCAGATACACACATTCTGCCATGGTTGAAAATCAGGAAGAAGCTTTCACTGTTCAGATGACAATACCAAACTAGTCAACCCAACTCCCGTGTTGTGGAGTGCCTTACCAGAGGACAGTAGCTCAAAGTGTTAAGAACTTGATTTAAAACATATTCCATGTGCGGGGTCTCTTAACAATTTAAAAATCAGTTCAGATGTTCAACAAATGCCTCTTTACATCTATTACATAACTAGTAATTATTTTCCAAGGCTTATTCCAGAGCGGGCTGATGTGGCTGCTTAGCAAGGTGGAAAATGAGGCCCGACTGGACCGCAACAGGAGCAGCATGAAGTGTCGAGAACAGATGTCGGATCAGGGAGGGCTTCTGGAGACCCGTCGGACATAATTCATACGTGTGAGGGGAGGACGGCAACTGATAACCTCGATGATCAAAGCGCATGCACGTCTTCAGATGAGAGTGGTGAATGTTTTAAGTGCTAACAGCGGGCACTTCGGGCGTTCTTACAGTAGGTAGCGTATGAGGGATGACACAAAAATATTCATCTCTGTTCAACGACTCAAGCGTCCTCCCTTCCTGTTCCGCAATTCTCACGCGTTGCCCTCGCCCCGCCCCCTCGCTCATCTGCGGCCCACAGGAAAGACAAAATAAATGAGTGAGGGGGGATTGTTTAACCAGACATGTTTATCTTGGTGAGACTTAGCAGACACTATCGCGGAACTGAAACAGATAAAAACACAAATCATGAGCAATGAATCACTCCCTGCTCACCTAAAGAATGCATTTAAAGTAAAAATAATAATAATAATACAATAATAATAATAGTGTGAATCTATAGAACAGTCAACTAAGCAGAAAATAACGCCTGGCTGGATGCACGACAATGTGGTTTTCCAGTGATTTACTGACGCTTAAGGGACAGGATTGACTGGCTGCGGAAGACGAGATTGCACAGTTCAGAAGCCAAAACAGCATGTGGAAAAGATTGAAAGTGAAAATATGCAAGTGCAATGCAGCCTTCCACTTGTCCTCAGTGATGAACAGAAAAAAAAAAAAAAACAA